ACACGTGGATTTAAAGATTCCTGCTTAGTTCTTACTGTTCTTAACAGGAGAGCCTGTTTTCATAGGCGCAAGCTGCCATAAATTAGAATGATATCACTGAATTATTGTACTGAATATGTCATTAGTTTAAGGTTAGATAAGCACAAAGGAAGCTGACTGTAAAATATGGACAAAAGAATCCACTTCAATTGAATCAGGCCCATAAACAATCTTACCATAATTTTACTTCACACAAGTTTTTTTTTTTTTAAATTTTATCCACTAGTTCCTTCCTTAATATCTGAAAGTTTTTCAACCTGTCCCAGTATGGTGATACCATAACCATATATGTGTGTGCATGTGTGTATACACACATGTGTATATTTGAGTGTGCGTGTATATATATGTGAAAACCACACTAAGAAAATTCAAGTGCTAAATTGGACTTACATCTCTAAGATGTATCTAGGCCTGAAAACTCTTTTCTTCCTAGCTTGCTGAAAAAGCTTTTAACTCCATATGTTAGGAAACACTGATTTATATGCTTTTATACTACTCTATCTCTCTGCCCAGAGAATTCTGTAAAACTGGAGCAGCAAGACTCGTCAAGAGATGACCCGACCCACCCCTCTGCCTAAAGGTATGGTTAGTCATGTTTTTCTCATTTTTCATAGATTGTTACCTAACCTGCACTTTAAGACCACTAGCAATGCTGGCTGAACAAACTTCCTTAAACCAATCATTCATAATCCCCTTCCTGCTGTTTGAAACTTTCTTCCCTAGTATCTGACCCGAATCTATCTTTTGGAGTGCAGGACCATGACTTATCCTACAGACATGGACATCAGAGCATTCCTTCCTTATTGTAAAAGCCTTTTATTATCTGGTATCATGATCCTTCACAAAATCTTCTAGATGACATTAAATAACTTCCAGTGTTTCCTCAGGTTTTCTAGAACTCATTGCTCTTCAACTGCTATACACTTTTTGAAACGCAACACAACTAAATGCAGGTTCATGAAGAACTACGCAGTCTTTAATCCTCTATTAACAGTGGTAGTGTGGTATTCTTCTGTTACACACTGTGTTTATGGTTATGTAGCTACACGATTTGTATTTTTACATCAGGACTGAAGTGTGGATAAATCCTACAGGTAAATAAATGTGGGATTTCTAGCAAGACTTTGAATGATATAGAACTTCAGAGTTAGGTCAGGTAAGAATACCACAATCTGATCAACCAAGCATAAACTGAAAATAAAACTATAGGACAATTTTATTGGCTTGCTTAGTTGTGCTGATTCTAACAAGCATAATTTTAATTTAGTGTTTACCTGTTTTCTTTCTACTAATATGTGTAAGTATAAAACATATGCAATAATCTTTCATCAGTGCAGTCATTTCATGTCTATAGCTACTTATTGTAGGAAAGTGGGAAGCTCATCTACTTAAATGAAAACCTCTATGAATATTGAATTTATCCAAAAGTAAAAAAAAAAAAGTATGAGATTAAATTATATTCTGGAAATAATTTATCCGTAGTCTTTATGAGCCAACTATTCAACTCGTCTCCTAAACTTCCACAATAGAAAAATGCTGATACTAATGACTTCTTCTCTTCTAGAAATCCTTCCTCCTGCTTATTCAATACCAAATGCTGGAACAGTTAAATATACTCAGTGCAGTCTGCTCTGAGATTATACAAAAAAAACCTTATCTGTTTAAAGATGGCAGAGATTAGTGGATATATAAATTCTACCTTGTAAAACCTTTCCTGTCCAATAAAAGACAGCTGGAAAAAATGTAACGTGAAGCTGTCTTTAACACAGTGAATGAAAGTAGGTGAGAGGCACAAAGCTGTTCCAATTGCAAAGAGAGGAGAAACGGTAATGTAACCAGCAACAATTAATCCATACAATAACTGATAAGAGATGTATAAGAGAAGAACTCAAACAGAACCCAAGAAAAGAATTGTTAAATTCATTGCAGCCCTCTCCTTTTTGTTAAAAAGGCATGACTTGCTGACTCTGGTGGGAGAGAAATGAGAATACTCTCTCTTTTTGGCTGTGGCTCTAAACCAAAGGAACTAAAGGTCTCATACAGAGGAACATGAATTTACCTTGGCTCCATTTTCACAGTTCCCAGATAAGAAACAATGATGACCTTAGGGAGCCAGTAGTGTTCCCTTAGTAGTCTCTATATTAGGTATTTGAAATATATTGAAAGTTAAAGTGATAAGATTACCTCCCACATAAGAAAACACATTGATTCTTCACAAATATGAGCAAAATTAAAGATGAATTTAAGAAAATTACTTATGGCACAAAAAGCACATTAATGCTGCCCACATCATTATTTATAGAGAAAGAAAGTTATTTTGGCTGAGGTGACAAATTACCTTTCCACAGTAGAAGGAAAAGAATAGTTTACAAGTTCAAGATGTAAAGTTATTAAACAAGACCTGACTGTACTAAGAAATGCACAACATATTAGAAAAGTCAATTTCTTAAATTAAATGGCAAATCAGCAAGTGGATGAAGGACTGACCTTGGATCGGGGTGGTGCTCGGATGTACCATTTACAGTCTACTGCTTCAGTTTCAGAAGCTTTTCCTTCTTTGACAATTTGGACAGATTCCACAATTCCTTCAGGTCCTCCCATCTCAAACTCACAAACTGAATAACAAAATACCAAAAAAAATGAAACCTGAACAGCAAACAAAAATATTTTCTACAGCAGAGTGCAAAGGCCTCCAAGTTCAAAAAAAACCAAAACCAACATACCAACCTGGCAATGGCTTCAAAACACCAAGGTCCTTAAAATCTGGATCTTAAAAATTGAGAAAGAAAAAATTAGTTTTGTTCAATATGTTTGCTATAATGTCAATGTGCGAAAATTTAACAATGCACTTCAGTGGTATAATTACAGACATATTTCTTGGAAATGAGAAATGTTTCTAAACTATGGCAACACTAATTATTAATGCAGATATTATTGATACTATCATACCAAGTTCTTTTTTTTCTGTTATGAAATCCCACTTTTCTCTGTCTCTCTCTTTCAGAAGAGTGAGTTCAAAAATATTTCTGCATACACTAGCAAGCAAGAACATCACACAGCTAACCACATGATATTTTAATACATCAGTCTAATGAAGGAGGATATATTTACAGATCCATTCAGAATCCTTTTGCCTATTTTGCATTTTGCAGTATAACACTCCACTTAA